GAAATTTGGGCTGACCTCAGCTCTGACCCATAGGCGCCGCCCAAATTTTTTTTTTATTTGGGGCAAGCCGACCCACCGCCGGCTACTGGCAATTTGCCGCCTAATTTTAACCTCTGCTCCGATCTCTGCCCTTTGATGTCGCGCTCAGTCAAAAATGTAGGACAAATTTGGAAAACTTTGGAATGCCTTGTGTAAAACCCATGACCGCCCTCCACAAACCGTTTCATTTTCTTTTGCGAGCTCAAAACGTCTTGATCTGCATCACCCTCGGGGGTCCCATTTTACCTTTGGGAGTAAGGCTGAGTTGTCCCGCTGCCCTCTTGCCCCTTCCAAAGACAATGCTCTGGCTACTGGGAAACTTACCATGCGACACATTGCACTTATGAGCGTCGCTGCTTGTGAGAGACAATGTATCGATGACACTTTTTAATAGAGGAACTCAACTTTTGGACCAAAAACTGGTTCATCTTCAACCTCGGCAAGGGAGTGTCATTGTACGAGATAGGTGCCATTTTTGTCACTACCTACAACTGTTTGCTTGCCTTGAAAACGCTCTCAAAGACTTCAGCGCCAGCGGACTGCGGCCGCTGGATTCTGAAGTGTTCTCGGCACGACGGCTTCATAGGGTCAGCGATGACCCAGGCGTTGGAACCGGCTCTGGAGTCTGACACGGGCGGAGACAGCTGATGCGGAGTGCTACAGACGGCGCGGTGGAAGGTGGTGCAGAGTCGAGGCTGACTCCACCCGCACGGACAGTGGGGTCTGAAGCAACGCCCAGTTCTGAAAAAAACATTACGAGCTCGTGGCAGGCCCTGGCGGCATTCAAAATTGTTCAGAGCCCACCTCGTTACCAAGGGCACTAAAACGCAAGCGCACACGGTGACAGGAGAGGAGAAATGCGCTCCGGTATACTCTTGACCACACAAAACGGTCGCTACAGGAAGAAGACTCAAGGCAAAACGGCCAGGTATGCAGGGGAGAGGGGTAAAACGGTGACGGAGATGCGAGGCGAGGTAGACATTGGGTGTTTCGTCTGCTGTATGCTGTACCGTCTCCTTGCAGACCCGGAATTCAATGCACGACGCGTTCAAAATGTGGGTGTGGACCATGCACGGATACCAACAAAGGACAAATATCTAATGTGAGATTTCTGCCCGCAGTGGAGGGAATGCTGAATAGCCACATGTGGCCACCGTTGTGCCAAAGTTTCAGTTCCTTTCTTGCCACTGAGTGTCAAGTTTAGTGTCCTGTGACCACTGACAGCTTAAGTGACATTTTTAACCTTGTTGAAGGTTGTGACTATGCGTACATTTTGAGCGTCATTCTCCTTAGATAAGCACATGACATGCTCATAGATAACTTGAGCAGAACTATGCATCACGTACCTTTCCGGCATGAGCGGATTCGGAGGGGGGGGGGGCACGGGCCCATGCCCCCCCCCCCCCCCTCTTGGGCCCCGAGGGGGCCCATTGGCTCCAGGGAGGCCGCATAGCCGGCCGAACAGGCGCAGTTTTATTAACATCAAAGGCAGCAAACTTGCATTTTTGGATTTTCAGGCGACCAAAAACAGTTTCCAGCAAATCTGAAGGGGCCACGAGAAGTAAAAATATCTTCAATAATTGAAAAAGTTGTGAATTGGGAATTTTAAGCCTTGTTACATCCTCTAAGGGCCCTATGCCGTTTCTGGGGTACCTATATGCCCGCCTGCAGGGTCATTCCGATCATTATAGAGCCTTCCACGTTGCCCGTGATTTCTTTACATTTGCCCGGAGGGCCCTGCGCTGGTGCTGGGCCATTTTTGCTAGCGTGCCGGGACACTCTTTCCAATCGAGGACCCTTCCACAGATTCTTTCCACTCGCCAGAAAGGCTCTGTGGGCTACAGCTGGGGTCCCATATCTTGACCTGCCGGGGTACTCTCAGCTGCTCAGGGCCCTTTAGGTGGATCTAGGTTAACCTACCGACACACCCCGATATGCCCAGGGGCCCTCTACATTGGTTTAGGGCGCTTCTCATTTTCTGCCACTTGCTTAGGGCCCTTCGCTCTTGTAGGAGCCCATCTGATAGCCTGCTAGGGCACACTCGGTCATTCTGAGACCCTCCACGCTGGATCCTGGATACTTCTCATCTGAATGGAAGGGGGGGGGGGCTACACTTGTGGGGCCTGTCTGGTAACCTGCTCCGGCACATTCGAACGTTCGGGGCCCTCTTCATTGAATTTTGGGCACGTGCTAATTTAACGGGGCCCTACACACCTGTTGAGGCCTCTCTGTATGCCTCCTCAGCCACACTAGAGTGTTCGGGGGCCCTGCACAATGGGTCTTGGTGTTTGAATTTAGGACTCTGCGCTCCTATCGGGGTCATTTGATTACCTACCCGGGTGCATTCCATCTTTCGGGGCCCTCCACACTGGGCTCCGGATATTTTTTATTTGAATGGAGGGCGCTTCTGGGGCCCCAGATGCCAGGGTACACTCAGGTGCTCAGGGGCCCTTTATATAAGTCTCGGGTTCTTTCCACTTGCTTGGAGGGCCATGTGCTGTTGCTGGAGCTCTTATAAGGTAAGACACCGAGACACTCGATGCTCAGGGGCCCTCTGCTTTGGTCAAGGGCTCTTTCCCCTTGATCTCATTTGCGGAGGACTCTTCACTCCCATCAAGGCTCTTTTTGTTAACCTGCCCGTGCTCTCTTGATCGCACAATGCATATCATGCGTACCATATGTTACATCGCTTTAATGTCTTTTACATCGCTTTAATTTAATTACATCGCTTTAATTTAATTACATCGCTTTAATTTAATGTTTGTCTCAGAACGTTTATTATTTTGCAGAATCTACCAATGAAACAAATTACACAAGAAGGCTTGAGCCTGAGCGCCCGCAATCTCGGGAGCACGGACAGCGACGGGCCGGGTTGCAGCTCTCGTAAAATCGAACGGCGTTGGCCGCTGTAGGTAACACCAGGCGGCGGGCCCCATGTGCGCGAGAAAGAGCGTCATAAAATAATGGTTCCGAATGTCTTTCAAAATGAATTCACACCGTGCAAAGCTGAGGCTGGGCGTAGCTTTTTTTACAGCTGTGCGGCTGGCCTCTGGGCAGATGAACAACACGAAAAATAGAGATTCCTTTTCCAGTTAGCCACCAGATTCCAGCAGCACTTGGCGGTGTTGTAAATGCCAATCCGTTCGTAACATCAATCTAGGAATCGTATCGGTAAAATATAAGCCCTGACTACCTTTTAACTGTACGATTGATGTCCCAAAGCGTTCAAAGGTACGTCTTTCAGATGTGTCAGCATTTCGTCCACCCGCTGGCCACAGCTAGTGATCTTGCCACGGGGCCCACGCTGCGCGGCCTGAGGAGACGGCAATGCCTGGCGTCCAAGTTTTTGTTAAACACGCGTCCGAGTGGCCGGATGAATACCCTTCGCTCGAGTGGGGGTCAATCTGACACCCCCCCCCCCTGAGATCTCAGGATCTAAAAGAGCTAGAGACACCAAACTCACAGGGTTTGTTGATCTGTGCATGAAATTATTTGGGTCAAAGTTTGAGGTTCCTAGGTCATGACCTTTGGGTCAAATAAGGTAAAAAAGGTCAAATTCCAGGTTGGTCTCTAAACGAATCCTAGAAATAGGATAGCTGTTTTAAGCAAAATGTCTCATGTTTATTTAAGGTCAGTGGGCTTGATTTACCTTTTAAAGATCGTAGTGACCAAAATCACGCAAGACTGCATTGAGTTTTGCATTTGAACCGGCGGCTTAGATTACGCTGGGCAGTATGCTCCTAAAAACAAAATGTTGGCCCGGGTCATTTTAGGTCAGCGACCTATTGTGACCTTTAAGAGTCCATGGAAGGTGTATAATGCGGTTTCTGTTATCAATACATTCGAAATGGGCGCCAGAAGCCATCACAAACAGCACACCCTGAAGAAATAAAACTGGTTGATTTGGCGTTGGTCTGACCTTCATATATGATCCTAGGCCAATATGATTTGCTCATTCAACTGTTGTGTTCCTAATTCAGCATCTCACGTAAGAATGGCTTCGTCTAACACTCAGTTATTGTATCAGATTAAGCGATTCCCTTGAAATTGCCTTCGATGAAATCATGGCCTGACTTTGACCGCCATAGATTAGCGACCTTATAAGGTACATCTAAATTTCTGATGCCAGACAATCCGCTATCCAACTGTCTACAGCGATGCAAGATTTGGCGCGGCTACACCGCGTCTTTCGTAAACCATTCCGGAAAAACCTTCCGGGTGGGGGGGGTCAATTTGATCCTCCACCTAAGCACGTGCTACGATTTGCGAGCGCGCTTGTTCAAAACTACGTACATAATTGGTAGCACTAATCGATTCTGGCTGAATGAAATGAACTTACCCAGCAATTTTTTCAGGTGGGCTTTTCACTATCAGTGTTAATTCTGCGCCCCCCCCCCCCCCCCTGTTTTAAATCTTTGGCTGCGCGCCTGGGTGCTGGCAGCACAGACAGGCAAGCAATGCGGAGAGATGTCTGATGTCAGTCTACAAAACATGATATTTTGATAAGATCTCGTTCTTGCCAGAGCTGGGACAAGAACTGATGACGTCATTTTGGGGTAGCTGATAATAGCTTGGTGCAGGTATTGGACAGGGACGGATGTCGGGCGGAACAGAAAGAAGACAAAACGAGGGAACAACAATTCACTACAGCAAAGGCAGCGTCATCGGGGTTTTACGACGCACTCAACTGCCATGAGTCTATGGCATAGCTTGCCTCTCACCGTAATAGGGAGAGCGGCATCGTGGGGAATAGAACCCCGTACCTTTGGTTTGGTATCTATGCGTGCTAAACTCCGCCAGTTTTAGCACGAATCGGTACTAAACACGGTTCCCCTCTTAGTAAGAATCCGTACTAACTAGGCTTGAGGACGTGTTGGTTTTGGTAGATACCGATCCTGTTCCTGACGTCAGCCAGTGTTTAGTTTCGGAACTTATTCCTGATCGTGAAGTAATTGGTACACCTTGTCCCGGCCCTTTTGACCTTGGAGCCTCGTGGTGTAGAGGAGTTGCGGCGGTCTTGCACTGTTCTTTTGGTGCAAGTTGGTGACTGGACTGGCAGTTAACGTGTCGGAGATAGTTAAGTTTATTCATGGCCCAGATAGCCACTGTAAGTATCCTTTTTATGACCATGGGAATGCGGTAAAAACTGATGCAGTGCCGCGTCGGATATGCCTAGCTGTTGTCTTTATCGCCGCGCAATGCTGGGCTCGACACTCATATCTTATTGGCTCAATAACTTGACATGTGCATGCCATCAAGAATTGCCAAGCTGTGTGATGAGCAGGCAATTTTGGTTTTAACTTTACTGACATAATATGAACTTGTGGGCTAAATTTGGTAGTTAGTGGGGTACTGAATGTCTTACTGAATGTGTCATGAAGCAGAATACGCTAATGTGTCTGGGAACATGTTTGGTCAACAGTGATGTCACTGAGACAGTTCCAGAGCATGTACGCATAAGTGTGAGTTTGCAGTAGTTTGTGCAGTAACCACAAATTTTATTGTGTGGAGAACAGGTCTGGGGTTTATGATGTTGCAAGGATATTTTCATGTAAATATGAAACACTGTCGTACCAAATTAGCCCATATTTTTGTCTTAAATTGACATGATGTGAGAGAAGGGCTGGCGAGCATGAAGCAAGTTGCTAGTGTGCCAAAGCAAGCAACTGGAAGATCATCAGCAAGGTGTTTGTGGCCTTTGTGTGCCTCAACTGGGGCTGCTTTCTGTGCTCAGGCCAGTGGTCAGTTATGTTTGGTGTCAAAGGAGTATCCAAAATTTTCATGGCTTCCTTATGTGCACTCACTGCCTCACTGATTGCCCATACTGCTCTTCTCAATACAGATTGCAATCACTGAATTTTTAACCAAATATTTGATAATTCTCATTACTATCACCAAATTTGCAGTATCACTGCATCATTTTGCAGCATTTGCAGCATGTTAGGTTGCGTGACCAGCTACATCCATGGCCAGACTGAATAGGGATAAAGATAACTGTTTCTGAGTTGGGATTAATGTGGTGCATGAGGCCTTTGGGATTCCATTGCCTTTATTGTCACATCCTTATTGTTCATGCATCATGGTGTGTTTTCCATTTCTGCCCAATCTTCACCTCAGCTCAGTACCCAGCCATTGGTACCATGAGCTGTTCCAAAATAATATGAGTTGCCTCAATTAAGAAATTACTGCTCCCAAATTTCCAAAGTCTACTCCAAATATGAATTCTTGCCTCAACTTTGCCTCAATGAAATCCCTTTGGAATCTGCCATGTTTTGCAGATGGTAAGTGCAATACACTGATATCCCATAAGTGTTGGTCTTTCATAATCAGGATGCTTTTCTCTATACAGCTTCCCTCCAAATGTTTACAAATTTGTTCAAGGCATGAGCACGAGCAGAATATTTATGTTCTTGACAAATTAGTCACAAGATGGCAAAGCATTTAAACCATTTGCAGAGTTTTGCTATGTTCAACCTACAGCCTGAGCTGGGAGGCTGGCACAAGCCGTTGAATAGCTGAGACGTTTCTGATGCTGAATTGAGAGTGATTCTCTTATTTGCATTGCCATGACACAGTGGTGGCGCTTGGGTAGGCGGCTGTCTGCGGTAGGTGGTTGGGCATGCAGTTTTCTGTGAATGTTTGTTGCATCCTTGGCATCAGTGTGGTTTGTTGGCAATGGTAGGTTAAGTCATGTTCAAGTTTGAGTTGGTCTGCATAGGGCATAGGAAGTGAGAGCTTTGCTAATATACAGATGGGTGTGATTCTGATACTTGTTTCTCACTTCCCAGTATTGCTCAAAGGCAATTTCTTTCAGCGTTCACACTTTATTTTTCATATTTCCATACATAGTTGATCATATACTTAGGTGGCAACACAGGCTGCTTGCTATTGGGCATCTTAGTCTGGTGGGTACAAGATTTGTGCTTGTGCAGATATCAATACATGGCTCCTGATGGAAGCAGCAAGTCTCAAGCTGTTGCACCTTCTGGTTTTATTTTGTCCTGACACAAAGAGGTAAAATGAGTTTTTCCAAAAGCTGTTCTTGTTGCATCATGATGAAGTACAAAATATTTCACTTTACCTAGTCACAATCCTGGAGTACAAAATCTCCTGGTATACATTATACCAGGAAATATCAAGTTTTCCAACACTGTTACAAATGTACATTTACAGTTTGATACCAAGTGATCAGCTATCCAATTGTCTACAGCTTTACCAAATTTGGCGCGGCTACGCTGCGACGCTCGTAAGCCAGCCTGGAAAAACCTTCGCGAGGTCAAATTGACCCCATCACCTGAGCGTGTGTTACATTCAGCAAGGAATGTGACCTCAAGCCATACACACATACACATGGATGGTGCTTTGTTTCTCTTTGAAGGGGCTGTGCGTCATGTCCATCACCAGCAAGTCCTCTTCAATATCATGCCAACCTGATGGCAGAGGCATTAGAAGAGGATGCATGAGAAATCATGGGACCTTCCCCCTTTCAACTGTTTTTTGGCACACCCATACCTGTGATGGATCTCCACTAAATCATTCATGATGTGTCTGAAGTAACCAGTACCAATGGCTATTGAGGTTTGTTTTTAACCATATTCTGGGTGTGCTTTCAGTATCCTTATTCTGGGTAGTATTGTAGATTCTTATCCTTCCACTTGGGATCTTAGACTGCTGGGCAGGTGGAAACAAAGTGAGAAAAATGGTGGCTTATTATTGATAAGATCTACATTTCTTTTAAAAACAGATAGGGCAGCAACAACAAGGACAAAACTTGAAAAATTCAGATAATTATGATCTAACACTATTCATGTTTATGAATTAATTTGCAATGCAACCCCTATGGATTGAAAGATAATGTTCCTAGGACTGATGTAGTATGACCAATTTCAAAATCTAGAAATTGTGAGGCTGTCCATGATGCGCAAAATTTGTTGATAAAAAATGCTGAGACTGATTTTTGATTGTGTGGATGTTGAGTGAATTGGATGTCGCTCTGTTTGTAATCAGAGAAGCAAGCATGGCCCCAAATTTGGGCATAGGCAGAGCCAGGCTACCAGTCGCTGTTGTGATAGGGGAGACTTGGTGAGTGTGGTATGTCTTATTGTTGGCATGTTTGTACATTTGATTGTTGTCTGTTTGGCAGTGTTGGCCAGGAGGACTTGTGCTGGGTGGTCTTGTGTTTGCTGGGTGGTCTTGAGAGCTGCTGGGGGCGTGATGGCCGAGTTGCTGGTGCATCGGGCTCCCACGGGAGGGGCCCGGTTCGGTCCTCGGTTGTGCTATGGCCCCTGAGCGTTAAGATGGCCGATATGGTAGCTGGCGCTCCACTAAAGGGGCGTGACGACGTGCGTCGGGTTCTCCTTAAAGCAAAAAAATGAGGGAGCTGTGAAAGAGGCGGTTGTAACGATGCAAGCGGTGCGTCGCCATTACTTATTCTGGAAAGATGCTTGGGCCAACAGAGTCGCTGGAAAAAAGTTTTATTTTCTCGGAGCCACTTGGAAACAGCACAGATGTAGATTAGTGGGAAATACAGAAAAACAGTGGCATAAACAATTGACTCACTGTTTGCATGATCATTTCCGCCCGTGCCACGTCGCAAACACTTTAAAATGTATCTTGGTGTCTGAGCTCATCATAGCAGCCACCGCGCAGTCTGCAATCTTCCTCTGCACTCCTCTGCTACAATCTCATTCAAGGGTCTCTGGAGTAGATTTTGATAGATTTTCATTACACTTCAGTACAACAATTCCATTTCTGTGCAGCAATTCCACTTTGTACATGAAACATGTTTTGCTGTACAGGAGTGGAATAGGAATGCGGAGCAGGAGTCATTTATATCATTGAGATGCCTGAAGACATCCACCTTTTTACCAGTCATTGGGTCGAGCCTTTTTCAGTAAGCAAAACTTAACTTTTCCGGGACACAGTTGACAAATTGTCATATTAGTGTATTCCTTTAGCCAGGCAGTAGAATGTGAATTGAAGTGAAGTTTTCATATAAAACTGGAGAAGGCAATGTTGGATCGCAGGCACGGCATGGAGCTGCGGACACCGTGCTTTAGAGTCCGGATCATCATCGCCATTCGGCAACGGGGCGCTATGTGCTGCCTGAACAATGTCCGTTGCCACTGCAAAGACGGATGGATGTGCGTTCGAGGCGGAGCGTGCAAACTGCGGCGTCGTGTTTCGCTACCACGCGCTTCTGCCTCCCCGCCTCTGGCAGCCGAGTACAGTCGCGGACGGGGCGGCCGGCACTGCCGCTGCCGCTGTCACGGGCCGTGCCGTGCCGAGGCCTCGTCCTGGGCACGGCGCCGGGCCTGCTGGCAGCCGTCTCACCGGCCGGGTGAACTGAGAGCGTTGTGCTCTGCCGTGGTGAGGGCTCCTGTGCCCTCGGGCAGGTACAGGCGATGTGGCGGGGTGCAGCGGCGGTATTGAAGGCGGGCCAGCCGGGCCGTTGAAGGTGCTGGTGATGTGGCGGAGCGGGGCGGCCTGGGCGATTTGAGACATGGGGTCATGCGGTGGTCCGGGGCAGAGCAGGACAGCTGCTGGGCTGCCCAGGGCTGCCCGAGGCTACCGTTGGGCTGCCCCAGAATGCCGCCGGGCTGCCTTAGGATGCTGCCGGGCTGCCCCAGGCTGCCGCTTGACTGCTCCTGGCTGCCGCTGGGCTGCCCCAGGCTGCCGCCGGGTTACCCCAGCCTGCCCCAGGCTGCCGCTTGACTGCCCCAGACTGCCGCTGGGCTGCCCTAGGCCACCCCAGGCTACCGCTTGACTGCCCCAGGCTGCCGCTGGGCTTCCCCAGGCCGCCGCCGGGTTACCCCAGACTGCCCCAGACTGCCGCTCGGCTGCCTGGGCTGCCCCAAGGTGCCGCTGCAGGGCACTACCGCCTGGGTACCCAGACTCGGGCGGAAAACTATGGGCTAGTGGCACTCGCTGGTGTCGAGCGGTCTGTCATCGTCTCTCGATGGTTTGCTGATCTCTGAAAAATGAGCTGCTTTTTGGCTGTGTCACTTTTTCTCTCGGAATCACTGGCTCGGCCAGGATAATGTTTGTTGCCACCGTGGCGGGGCTGGAATTCCCAGCTGCCCCTGTTCCACGTCCGACTGGTCTGGGCGAGGTGTATTGGGCCATGCACTGGAGGGTGAATTGGGAGCCGGGGGTTATCCGCTCCGGATGGGGGCCGTACCTCGCAGAAACTCGCGGTTGGAGCTACCCAGTCGGAAGCTCTTCTTCTTTTACCCCAGGTAGGGGCTTCCCGATGTTCGCGCTTGCCATGGGGGCTTGGCTTGCTTTTGCTTTTCCTTGGTGATAATTGCTTATAGACACTGCTTTTTGGCACTTTTAGACACTGACTACTTCTTTACGCTGAAGCGGTCATCATTGGTTTGGTGAATTAATTTTCATGTTGCTCATAATTTTTGCGAAAGAGTGCGCACACTCAACGAAGGTAAAGCTTTCCTTGTTCGCGCCGCTTTTTCGGTAAGGCCGCCTTTCTGGCGCTTGGCTGGTCTTTCCTGGGAGACAAAAAATCTTTATCTTTGCTGGTGCTGGGGGGGGGGGGGGGGCTGTCGCGGTTAGAATGGTAAGCTTAGGTTATACGAAATATTTCTTCGAAATGTTCAAAACGAGGTTATGAAAACCAGTTTTTGATATGATGACGAAACATCAAGGCGGATACTCCCAGAGCTTAGTTCCAGGAATGATGATGGAGCTTATTTTTCATGCAGGCCGTCGTTCCGCTGTAGTGACATGGAGCTGTTTGAAAAAAAAACAACGGAATAAGCCGGTTCAGTGGTTCACTTTCCCCCGTTGGGGGGACGCCGCGCGCGTCAGACCGTGTCTGAGACGGCCGCTCTGTCTGTGTTGCAGGCGAGGCCTTGTCGCTCCGCCGGGCGCTGACGGTCCGCCCCGTTCGGTCCCACGTCGGCCGCAATGGGCAAGCCGCGCACGGCGGCGGCCGGCAACGGCGTCGAAGCCGCGGAGCCCGCCCGCCTCACGAGCGACGTGCGCCAAAGGGCGAGCCGCGAGCAGAAGAAGAAGTGGCGTGAAATGAAGCTGCTCAAGCAGCTGGAGAAGCAGCGTCAGCTGAAAGAGGCGGCGGCGTCAGCGCCGGCGGCGCCGCTGCCGTTCCCGCCGGCGCCGGCCGCTGGCCGCGGCGTCGGCCATACGCTGGCGCTGGCCGTGCCCGGCTCCATTCTGGAGAACGCACAGTCGCGCGAGCTGCGTGCCTATCTGGCCGGCCAGGTGGCGCGCGCCGCCGCCGTCTTCTGCGTCGACGAGGTGGTGGTGTTTAATGACCAGGGCGCGACGGCGCTGCGGCCCGGCGCGCCGGGCTCCCCGCTGCTCGCACCCGACTGCTGCGAGCAGCTGGCGCGCATCCTCCGGTACATGGAGTGCCCACAGTACCTGCGCAAGCTCCTGTTCCCCGTGCACGAGGACCTGCGCTTTGCGGGTCTGCTGAACCCGCTCGACTGCCCGCACCACCTGCGCGTTAGCGAGAGCAGCGCGTTCCGCGAGGGTGTGGTGACAACGCTGCCGCCGGCGAAAGGTCGCTACTCGCTGGTCAATATCGGCCTGGCGCGCGAGGTGCGCGCCGACCGGTTACTGGAGCCGGGCCTGCGTGTAACGCTGCGCCTACGCCCGGACGGCCGCAGCGGTGAGGTGGTGCCGCCGCGCACGCCGCGCCTCGAGAACGGCACGTACTGGGGCTACGCCGTGCGCGTGGCACGCTCGCTGGGCGAAGTGTTCACGCAAAGCCCGCACCCGGGCGGCTACGACCTGCTGCTGGGCACGTCCGACAAGGGCACGCCGCTGGACTCGCTGGGTCCGCTGCCGGACTTCCGGCACCCGCTGGTGGTGTTCGGCGGCGTGCAGGGCCTCGAGGCGGCGCTCGAGAATGACGAGCGTCTGACGCTGGACGACCCGGCCGACCTGTTCGACCTGTACGTCAACTCGTGCCCCGGCCAGGGCTCGCGCACCATTCGCACGGAGGAGGCGATCGTCATCACGCTGGCGGCGCTGCACCCCCGGCTGACGGCGGCGGCCGAGCGGGGCGGCGCGCGACGCGGGCCGACCGGCAGAGGGCGGGCCGGAGCCGGACCCGGCGCTGGCGCCGGAGGCGTAGCGCGGCGCCGCTCCTGGCGGCCGCCCGCCCGCCGCGACGGACGGTGGGCGAACAGCCAGCTCCGGGCTGAGGTCACGGTCGCTGCGGGCGTCTCGCCGCCGCGACGGACGGTGGACGAACAGCCAGCTCCGGGCTGAGGTCACGGTCGCTGCGGGCGTCTCGCCGTCACGCTTTGAAGATCTCCATGCTGAGTGCTGCCGCGCTGGCAGTACGGAACTAAAACGAGGTGTTAGGCTTCTACGGGGTGCAAATAAACGATGCGGGATTCGCCGTAAAGGTTGTTGTTCTGACTGGCGTGTGTGATGGGCCTGTTGGGCGGGTTGTTTGCCGGAATGGCCCATAGGTATGATTTCTGCTCTAAATGGGACATCCTATATGGTGTTTTGGCTTGGGCCTCCATCGTGGTTTATGATTTGCCTTTACACTTAGTAGTTACGTTGCATGTTTTTTACTTTTTCAAATACATGTGTCCGTAAATCAAGCTCCTTTGGGGCGTATAGCCGGTATACGACGAAAACTGCGGAGCGTCCTTGACACGCGCCCGGATGGCCAGTTGGCCACCCTTAGCCCGACTGGGGGTCAATTTGACCCCCGCCCGAGATCTCTGGGACTAAAAGAACTATAGCCACCAAATCCACAGGGTGTGCTGGCCTGTGTGTGAACTCACTTCGGTCAAAGGTTGGGATTCCTAGGTCATGGCCTTCGGGTCAAATGAAGTTAAATAAGATCAAACCCCGGTTGGTCTCCAAAATGCCCCCAGAACCTAGATGCCTGTTCCAAGGAAAAGGTCATATGCTCATTGTAGATCGGTGACCTTGTTTGACCCTTTGAAGGTAATGGTGGCGAAAATCATACAAGACTGCTTTTAGTTCTGCATTTGAATAAGGGACAAAAATTGCGCTACGCAGTATGTTCTTAAAAGAAAATGTTGACCTGGGTCATTTTAGGTCTGACATTTTCCGCCCTTTAAAAAGCCTGAAAGGAGCACCAGAAACTACCCTCATACAGTAAGCCCAAGAGTAATAGAACAGGTTGGTTTTCACCTCGGTCTTAATTCATACCTGACCCTAGGTCAATGGAGCTTGTTCATTCAGTTGTTGTGTTGCCTAGGAAACTATATCAGAAATGTATGGCTTCATCAAACACGCGGTTGTGGCATCAGACTCAGCGATTCGTTAGAAATTGACTTCACTGAACCCATGAGCTGACTTGACCTGTCGTAGGTCAGTGAGCTCCCAAGATTCATATACATGTTTGATGCCAAACGATCCGCTATTCAACGGTCTAGAGCAGCTGTAGCTGCTACTCAGAATTTTGAGTATCCTCACGACGTCGTTAGGGAACCATTCCGGAAAAACCCTTCGCGGGTCAGTTTGACCCCCACCCGAACGCGTGTAAGATAATGAGTTCGGATAAAATGTTTTTCAGTCATGAACACGGTAACATGTAAGTGGACATCCATATGGCTTCGGGTATGGCGAGGAACGTTGACAGGGCACCCGCAGCGTCGGGCCCGTTTGGCGCACGTCGCCTCAGCTCCGGTACCAGAAGATGACCATTCCGTCTGCCAGGCCAAGGCCGTAGAGATCACGCGCTTGCCGTTTTCCACTCGACTTCCAGTGCGGACTGAATAAGTCTACAGCCCTGCGCATACGGCACCATACTGTTCGCATAGCGCAGTACAGCGGCGACCCCATCTGCCTGGTTCTGCTGGTAGATGGCGTTAGCTGTGTGTGTTTCTCGGCAGCTCCGGTAGGGGGCTGCGATCACTCCACGTGCAGGAAATTCTGCAGCTCCCGCATGCTGTGCCAGACCACACCAACATGCGTCTTCAGTGGGAACTGGCCGGGCAGTACGCGAAGCTGTGCGCGTGTGTGTACGGTTTGGCGGCGCTTGTCTGGACTGACCGGGCGCCTCTCCCTCGCCAGATGAACGACACCAACATGGCGGCCGGCGACGGCGACATCGCCCAGCTGAAGAACGGTCAGGCGGAGAAGGTGGGCTGCGCTGAGATGACCTCCAAGGACTACTACTTCGACTCGTACGCTCACTTCGGCATCCACGAGGTGAGGCCGCACTGGCGAGGCCGTGTCACTGGGCCACCCTGGCGAGGCTGTGTCACTGGGCCGCTTCAGCGGGGCTGTGTCACTCGGTCGCGCCGGCGCGGGGCGGGGTGTGTCACTCGGCCGCCCTGGTGGGGCTGTGCCACTGGGCCGGCCTGGCGAGGCTGTGTCACTCGGCCGCGCTGGCGCGGGGCGGGGTGTGTCACTCGGCTGCAGTCGCGTCGCGCGCGCACTCAGGGCGGGAACGCCAGTTCACCGCAGCGGAAGACCCTTCCAAAGCTGGCCTGGTGTTCATCGATTGGAAGCGTGGTGTTAATCGAAGCGCTCGAAGTAATTCGTGTGCGCCGCCCGTGTGGGCACCGTTTTGGACAAGAGATGGTGGTGTTGTGGTAAGCTGGTGCCCTCATTTGTACGCGGGTATCGCTACGCCCCAAAAGAATGCACAGGAAGCTAAGAACGCAGAAGTGGTGATTCTAATTTTGTCAATATCTTGTGCAGCTATTACATTTTATGGGGCTGAATAGCGTCATATTTCGTAAAATTTCAAGCTATCCTTTTACAAAACGGATACCATACGGTTGAATGGCATCGTATTTCGTGTACGTTGAAACTATTATAAAACGGATACGATAGGGTTGAATGGCCTCGTATTTCGCGTAACTTTAAGCTATCCTCTTGCAAAACGGATACCTTTCTGCCCATTACGGCTTGTAAAAAGTTCAGTTGCTCTACCGCTGGACCACCCAGTTTGACCGCCAGTTGTGCCCGCACTGCGCACACCAGGCAATGGTCTATGGCGTCCCAATAACTGGCCAGTGAAATTGTGCGAACCTATCAGAGGCTCCCGCGGGGCTGTCCAGTGTCGCACCGCCGCTCAGGAGCAACGCCGGGGCTGGTGCGAGGCGCGCCGACCCATGCCCGGCCCAGCTGCGCTCATCTGACGCTGGTCGTTCTCCCCGCCTCTCTTCTAGGAGATGCTGAAGGACGAGGTGCGGACGCTCACCTACCGCAACTCCATGTACCACAACCGGCACCTGTTCAAGGACAAGGTGGTGCTGGACGTGGGCTGCGGCACGGGCATCCTGTCCATGTTCGCCGCCAAGGCCGGCGCCAAGCGGGTGATCGGCGTCGACTGCTCCAACATCGTCGACCACGCCAAGACCATCGTCAAGGCCAACAAGCTGGACCACGGTGGGTGTGTTGCCAGCCCGGCCGGCCGGCGCGCGCGGTGGCTGCTGCCAGCGGGTCCAGGGGCGGGTCGAGCCGCACGCTACCATCATCGGCACCATCCTCCTGCGGCCGCATCGGCGTCCGTCGGCGAAAACGGGCCGACTGATGTCCGGCGGCCGGCGGCCGTCTCGCCAGGGGCGTGCGGCCGGCGTGCGGAGCGCACGCGCTGCGGCCGGATAATACGCTTTTGTGCTCGCTGTCCTGGAGGGAATGCTGCGTACGTCTAGCAATGCGGGTGTGCACGTTTCCGGGTATTCGGCGCACGGCACTGCTGACTAGTGGACAAGCGCGATGGGAATTGAGCATGCTATCGCTGTCGGACGCCAGTTGTGATGAGCTCTAAAGGACAGGGGCGGTGTCGTCGAAGCGAGTGATTGTTCGGTGCCACTGACCGTCAAGTGCGCTGTTGCTGGAATAGCCACGAATGCTGATGGATTACGGAAACGGCTCTCGGGGCGTATATGTTAGGCTTAGCTCTGCGTTTCTTTAAGCTCGAGGATTAAGTTATTACAAAGTTAAGCCCATCATGGTTTTTGTGTAACCTTATGACAGTATGTTTCTTGCTTATGTGCTCACGCGGAATTAAGCCGTCCTGATTTCATTAACGATCAGCCGTATTTTTCCGTGTCTATTTTCCAGTTTCCGGACGTGTTGCCGTGACAGTAGCACCTAAATATCATTAGAGCCATTTACGTGCAAAACTGATCACCACCTGAAATCACGTCAAAATTGCATGCTTTCTAAAGGCGTTTGAGAGGCCTGAATCGCACAGGAGCCGAAGGCAAGCAATAGCCTTTGAAAGTACTCGTACCCGTCCACATGGTCCGTGGTAGAGCGAAACTGTCAAGTGAGTGTTGTTTTGAACAGTGGCCGCACGCATGTGGCACCAGTGGAAGTTATTCAGCTGAGACATGTGCTGCGCTCCCCAGTGGTGGAGATCATCAAGGGCAAGGTTGAGGAGATCACACTGCCAGTCAGCAAGGTGGACATCATCATCTCGGAGTGGATGGGCTACTGCCTCTTCTACGAGTCCATGCTGGACACGGTGCTGTACGCGCGTGACAAGTGGCTGGCGGAGGGCGGCATGCTCTTCCCCGACCGCGCCACGCTCTTCATCACAGCCATCGAGGTGAGGGCGGCGTTGGCGGTCGTCCTGCTCCGGGGCTGCGGCCCGGGGTCACACGCATACGGAATATCGCGTTAGCGGACAAATAGCACCGGGTTTGTCACCAGGCCGCAATGTTTGAACCGCAGTGTTTAGTGCAAAATTGTACAGGAGCCAACTTGCTGTCCTCCACTCATGGTATTCTCACCATTCCCAGTTTGTTTTTCTTCATTTTCATGAAACCGGATTGTTCACATGGGTTCAGTGACCTTGTTGGAAGCAACGTGAATAATGCAACTTCCGTTGATTATTTTTGCTATGTCTGTGGCCAATGCCGACATGTCCTCGCAACATGAAAAGAGCTGCCCATGATTTTTTGCCGAGAGGTCGGTAAATTTTAAACGGCCGGTATCACGCGAGTGCCGTTGTGCCGAGGTGTACGCGACAATCAGCCCCCGCTCTTCTGGTTAGTCCGAACCTGTTCGCCTGCATTCTGATGCTCAAGCTTTGGGCTCAAGAAGCATGTGTTTATATGATAACAAGGAATTGTGCATCTAAAATCCTGTCGTTGTCCTCTGCTGTAATGTCCGAGTTATGCATCGCCGTCGCCGTCTGGGACAGTCCCTGCGCACGGCGTAGTTGGCTGCTGCGGCTCGCTGCAGCCGTTATCGTACTCTACGTTACGTTACTTTACGTTACGTTACGTTACTGCTGCTCGGAGGTTCGAGAACTCTTGGTGGCGCGTCCCGTCGCTGTGGTGATGCGTGATGGTGTGTTACGTCCGTGGCTCGCGGCATCTGCAGGACCAGCAGTACAAGGACAGCAAGATTAACTGGTGGGACGACGTCTACGGCTTCGACATGAGCTGCATCCGCGAGGTGGCCGTCTCCGAGCCGCTAGTGGACGTGGTGGACCCCAAACAGGTCAGCTCGCCGACACGAGGCGACGCATGGTGCACAATTCGTTTCGTTTTGCAAAACATCTCATAGATATTCTGTGCACGTCTGGCAAACTTAGTTATGCATGAATCACGAATCCGGGTCCACGGGATTGTTGCAGGCTTGCATTGCTTGCGTGGGAAGCGGCGTGGGTTGGGAGCGCCATGCGCGACGATGGCGCTCTCCGGCTCGTCGCTGACCTGCCGCCGGCCGTAGGTGCGTGGGTTTATGTTTGTCGGCCTCTGCCGGCCGTTGGGTGACCGGCAGCTTCCCGCCACCCTCGGGGCCGGACCCCTCCCCCCACCCTCTATCATTTAGATTTCAGCAGAAGTCCATGGGCGAAGTGTGGAAAAAATGCCCCAGAACAAAACTAAGGGACCGGATTCCGCGATCGTTGTGGGCGTGACGTCCCCCCGTCCGCGTCTGATCCACGTCCTTTTCCAGGTGGTGACGAATTCGTGCCTGCTGAAGGAGGTGGACCTGGCCACCATCACCAAGGCAGAGCTGGCCTTCTCGGCCCCTTTCACGCTCAAGGTGCGGCGAAGTGACTACGTGCAGGCCTTCGTCACCTACTTCAACATCGAGTTCACCAAGTGCCACAAGCGAGTGGGCTTCAGCACAGGTGCGCCAGGTCCCGTCTGTGTGGAGGTTGCGGGACGACCACGCTCGACCGGAAGCCGTTGTTTTCATTGGATCGTCAGTACTCGTTATAGCCTCGGCGGGGTGGCGGAGGGCATGCTCTGGTGTTTTCATTGTAGGTATGTGCAATCAGCTGCATGAGTTTCACCAGCCGCTTATCGTGTATTGAAAGTGGGGCAATTCGTGACCTGTGAGCAGTTCCAAAAGGGCTCAAATTATTTTGTGAGTACGTTATGTTATGCTTGCCGGGTGGGAAAGTTCTCCTTACCCCTCCCCCGACTCCACCGACGTACGCGGGCGCTCCTCAACATTTGATTAAGAGTGATGGTGTGCGGAGACACATTGCAAAGCCGAAGATGGGTAGATCGTTGGTATATGTTTGGAACCGTACCACCACACCTTCCCCAGCCTCAGTGAAGGGTAGCGTGTCATGTCTTCGGTCTGTAACTGGAACTGACGGCTAAAGGTTGCCGCCTTTCGTTTTACTTCCGGGTGCCGTGGTCTCTGCTGGACGTGACTAACCCCGTATGCTGTCCCCTCTAGCCACCTCACGGTCCAAAGGCTAATGAGCCCTGCTTCAGCCAGATCCGTGGTTCGCCGTCATCGGTGATGCGCCCCCCCCCCCCCCCCCCCCACTGACGTGCCGTCCCCCCCTTCCCGACAGCACCCGAGTCGCGGTACACCCACTGGAAGCAAACCGTGTTCTACACCACTGAGCAGATGACCTGCAAGAACGGCGAGACCATCGATGGCACCTTCTCCATGAAGCCCAACGAGAAGAACAACGTGAGCGGGCTTGGGACGGGACGCAGGGCGACGTGCGACCGGCGCCGTCCGCTCTCCTGCCGCTGGACTTGTTTTAGAACCACAAACAATTGTTCACTTTTGTTGAATCGGCGCCGGCATGAGCGAGCCGCAGTTTTTCGTGACGCTGTGACGCCGGCCGTGCGGCGCATTCCAGACCCGCGTCGCGCTGGCCCGGATTCCGACGCCATGTAGCCGGGCTCAGGACGGCGCGATGCGCCACTCCGCCACAATGGCCGGACGTGCAGTACACTCCCCCCCCCCCCTCCCTTCAACCCTGCGGTTGACGCGGGGCGGCGGCGTCTGTTGCAGCGCGACCTGGACTTCCACATAGAGTTCAACTTCCACGGCGAGCTGTGCACGGTCAAGGACAACCGCAGCTACAAGATGCGCTAAGACCGGTACGTGTCGAGTGGCTGGCCTCCACTCATGAGTGTGCTTAGTCGTCAGCATGCCGTACTGTGTTTCTGGCAGCACCAGATCATCGGAGCGCCGCACATCCGTACAGGTGGTCAGCTTGCGCGGCCACGCCCTGATGTGGTGACATTCACACACGACGGGGCTTTGGTCGATGGTGCCAACCGTGACGCCATCATGTGCGGCACTTTTGCAGCTTTGGGGGGGGGGGGGGCCGCTGTGTCCCCATGTGCGAGTCAGTACCCTAACGCTGTCGGTCCATTTTGCCACCTTACGCAGCGAGTCCGTAGATCTCACGATTCGTCCTGCCCGCCATAGCATGGGTGAGCACAAAAATCGGGCCATGCACGATGGTTGACGCTGGTAAGTTGTTACATATCTCGTGAAAGTTTAGAATAGCAACACATGCGAGTGGTGCCCATCGCGTTGAGACTCGTCGCGTTTAACTGAGTTTTATTAAAGCAATGAAATATCTGTCTTAGGGCGAATGGGGAAACATATCTGCGCGGCCGAGGAGAAATTATTCAACGAGTAACTATTTCTTCGAGACTCCACGGAGATGCTCCATTCCCATTTAGCAGGTCCGGAATTTATCCCCCTGCTTCGTCGCGCCATACATAGCCAGCGGTCATAGCAACGCATAGCGGAAAAAGATTGTCTTTACCATGCACTGAAAATTTCACGCAATTCTTCCTCGGTACGGGTAATCATCTGCGCTAATTCCCCTTGTTGACAGTACCAGTTTTTTCCAACATTCCGGATAATGCTCTGAGATTCTCAGCCCGTCGAGCACGCTCTTAGTTTCACGGGTTTAGAGGGAAAAGTGCGCGAGCGTGCTTGCGCCCGCGTACAGATTCACGAATGACACCGAGATTGAATGCTGGATGGCTGCGAGCGCGCTAGGCCCTGGTAACTTAAGCATCCACTAACAATAGCGTGGGGAAAACAATTATATTTTGATTGGATTTGGTCACGCCACGCGTCCGTGTAGTTGAGCCTCGCCTACGTGGATGAAGGTGAGATGGGGAAGCGTATATGACTGGGTTGGCTGGTCTCTACGTCGGAGGTTCAGTCGCACCTCTGGCGGACTATCGAAAGACTGCGGCCCGCCCCGCCGTACCCGGGGCGCGTCCGGCGTCATCGGCGCCGCATCGCCGGCGACCCGCTGGCAACGCCGCCTGACCGAGGCCCGCCTCTTTCCAGCCCGGCGCGTAGGACCATCGCACTCACCTCCACTGTCGTCGTTCGGCGGGCTTCCCGGCCGCCAACAGCTGACGTGCTCGGCCGCCGTTCGGACACGACCGGTGGCGCTCCATCGCCGAGCTGTGATCGCACGCGCTCGGTCCGCCCTCGCCGCCGACCCGAGGGGCTCTCACCGCAACTAGCACGTCATCAATAAACTGGCCGCCTTGCTGTTGGCTCTGCTGAGAGATGCGGCTGTGGCTGTGCCGCGCCAGGGCCGGCAGGACGATCAGTCGGGGCCGGCAGCGCGGTCAGCCGGGGCCGGCCGGTGCCGTCAGCTGGCCGGCGAGCGGCGCGCTGGGCGGTGCAGTAATCAGGCGTGATCCCTGCCTGATCTGTATGTGTCGGCGAGAGCAGGGCGCGCAGACAGCCACGCGCAGCAGCGGTGGGCCACTAGACACGGGCGGCGGAGCGAGGGCGCGGCCGGTGTCACCAGCCTGGCCGCTGGCCTATGGCACAAGCGTGACGGTCGCCAGATGCTGCCGGCCTCCGGAGTACCAATGGGAACACAACAATGACCGGTGCAACATCACAGCACAGCACATGGATCCTGGTCGTTGGAGGCGTGTAACTAGAAGCCCAAACACATCCAGCACCTACTACGTGGACAATATAGCGCGGCACAATGTCACCCAAACACAGTCCTGGTCACCCAACATCCGCACACTCACCCTCAGTGACAATCAGCTCTCCGGTTGCGCAGCGAGACGGTCGGTTATGCGCAGAAAATAATCGCTGGGTGTGCACGCCATCGCCTGCCGGGCCGGCCAGCCGGCAGGGTCAGGGTGGGGATCACGTGCCTGGTATCGATTCAGAATTTGTGAGATGCAAAATCAACGATTAAAGCTTGCGGGGGTTAGGTTACATCTGAGTGGCATCACGAGCTCACTGAGGCGCAGCGCGGCCCACTATACGACTGCGCAGCGTTATTAACTGACTACCCATTACTGTTGCGGACGGGGGGGGGGGGGGGGGGGGGGGCGGGCGGAACATTCCATGTCAAATCGACCAAGTTCGACAACCACCCCATCCGGTTTCGATGAAACAGGATGGATATGGACCACTCTATACAAACGATAGCAGGCCGGTTTGTAGAACGAGCGACCTCTGAGGTAGCAACCACAGGCCATGCGGTATTCGCTTTGTTTCAGTGAAAACAGGGTCAATGAAAACATCCTGCTTTTGAATCTCGGCATCTCAGCTTTAAGGTGACAACCTGAAGCCATGAACTGACTGCAAGAAACTTCCATTGTATGTGCCATATCCACCGCGTTCCCCCAAACGCAGAGACCGGGTCAATAGCGCCTATTCGCGGTCGTCCTGACGTTGAATGAGACAAAGACTACACGCGTAACACACTAAGCAACGTGTGACGACATGCAGAACTCAATGATCTCAGCGAAATGTCGGTTCATACCACTATGGTGATGCCCAGGCCAGTTTCGGTCTCACGCGTGAACAGGCAGCGTAAGAACCAACGAATGTGAGCCTCGGCCTTACAATGACAAAACCGTAAGTTACAAGTTCATTGGCATATCAGTTTGCCTGCTGAGTTACAAGCACATCCGCCCGGAATTCAACGGTGACGTACTTCCGCGGCCGAATCTGCAGGCTCGAACCAGGGCCATAACACACGCATAAGGTGAGACCCACGCCAGGCTAGCAGGCCGCCAACTGGACTCCTTGTGAACACGAGACGCCCCAACAATCTCGGTCAAGCTGAAACGGTCGGCATAAAACGTCGCAACGGAACATGATGGACGGCACTGCGCTGCCTACGACACAGAGTCCAGAATCTTGTCGAATCTTCCTGCATATCGGTAATATGATCTTTGGCACTATCTACGCGCCCGTCCATTGGGTGCCCCACACGAGGCGATGGGCAATATCGCCGGCACCCTTGACTAGGCTGCTTTGTCAGAAGCTGCTGACTAGTTAAGTCATCAAAATATCAACCTCGGCAACAGCTAATAACGATCAATAAATAAAACAAATGTGTGACCCACTGACATCTAGTAACCATCCCGCTGCTCCCCACTTCCCAATCATCTAAATCCGGCGGAAAACAACAAACTGGAATGGGAGCTGCTGCATTGGGCGCCTCTACGCCGCCCACAGGGGTGTCGCACATCGCGTCAGCCGGCGGGGGCCGCTCCACCGGCTCCGTGGGCCGCGCGTGTTGGCAGCCGCCGCGGCCGGGCCGCTCTAGCTGTCCGGGCTGATGAAGAGCGCGCTGACGGCGAACACCAGGAACACCACGCCTCCCAGCAGCGTGACTAGCGGGCACGGGGAGTCGCGTGTTAGTGGGGACCGCGAGCCTGACACCAGCACGAACGTCACGCGGCGCAGCTAGGACAGGGCAAAGGTGCACCGGTGGGAGCTGGGAGCATCACAACACCGGTCTTTGGGCGCGACGGAGGAAACTGGAATCTGCAGTGGCCACGAACCACCCCAGACATCACGCAGAGTCGCTTGCGGCGATGGGGAAACCGGGGTCAGCGGGGGGGGGGGGGGGGGCACGAGCCTTACGGCAGGGCCACCACGTGGCGCTGGTGGGCGCGACAGGGGAGAGCGGGGTCAACTGGCCATGGACGTCAGACCAGCCACCGGACCGGGTCTAGCCGCGCTCGTCACGAAACATTCGCCGCGGCGCGTCAATATCCGACTCCCTCGCAGCGGCCCACCCTCCCCCAAGGGCATGACGCCCATGGAATGGGAAGCCCTCTGGTCATCTTCCTTGCCCATTCGCAAGTGTCCGTGTCGGCCGTCGCCACGACACGACACCGTCACCGCGCCCCATCTTCCGCCTGCGCGCGGGCCACAACGTGGCTGTCCTCGGCTGCACGCGGCTACGCGGGCGGCACGCACCTGTTTTGGCCGAAATCCGCTGCGCGATGAGACGGCCGCCGACCACAGCCAGCAGGGTGCACAGAGAATGCCCCAAAAAGCTGCCCAGTGTCACGCCCCACGCATCCTGCCGGCGGGCGACCTGGGGTCAGGTGGCAGGCGTCGTCGGGGCGTCGCCACCGCCCCACGCGCCAGCACCGGTGTGTGGTACCGGGATCAACACAGCGACGACCGGTGCCACCTACACTGGCAAACGCACGTGCTGTTCGGGCCTCATGCACGTGCTTGATAGCGAACGTTCGGTTCATTTGTTACGCCAAAAGTCAAGATCGTGTCTGCTCGACACATGAGCTACATGGGTAACTATGGGCCCGGCGTGAAGTCAACGTACTGTGTTCGAATCAACAGGCAAACAACACGCGGCCCACAGGTTCATAAAAAGCTCCAGCAGATGACACAAGCTTTAATTACCTCTCTAGCCGCGAGGAGGATGGTGGCGATCTGCGAGCGGTCGCCCCACTCGGCCAGGAATGTCAGCGTGAACGCCTCCAGGAAGACGCCTGACACGAACGACAGGGGGCTGTGTCGCTCTCGTCCTGCTTCTACATCCAGTGGCGTCTTCGAGCGCTGCAGCGGCGAACCAGGCCGTGTCAGAGCGGGTATCGCTGTGGCTTGTCGGAATGGCCAGACAGCACACCGGCACGTAGCACACAAAGCTCACGACAGAAGCTCCTGAATCTATCAGCGTGAGCTTAACAAGCTGAGTGTGCATTAGACGGATAAACGTCTTTACACATAATTTTCAGTAACCTTTACATGCAACTTGATTCTGTGTGGCAGATGTCTATGCAAAGCAGCTTTATTCAGTGTTGCAGGTTTATTTCCCCCAGAACACGTGACTCGCTTGTCCGGCGCTCACGACGAGCGAAAATATTGGCATTAAGATCCAGAACACAACAATCGCCTATAACAAACCCACCTCGTCCTCGCGCTTGCGCAGATCCGTTTGCACCTCTTCGAACTCCTCCTGCGCCTCGTTCTGACCCATACGGATGCCGTCGTAGAGCATCTTGAAGCCGAACAAGGCGAACAGGGCGCTGGAGATGTAGTAAGTGTAGAGGCGCGGGATCACCTGGGCCGAGAAGCCCAGCAGCACTGCAGCAGTGGGGCGTCAGCTCGACCGGTCAGCAGCGGCATGGAGCATGGGGCGGCGGCACGACGCATGGAGCGGCGGCACGGCACACGGAGTGGAGGCACGGCGCATGGAGCGGCGGCACGGCACACGGAGGGGAGGCACGGCGCATGGAGCGGCGGCACGGAGCACGGAGCGGCAGCAAAGCATACGGAGTGGAGGCACGGCGCATGGAGTGGCGGCACGGCGCACGGAGCGGCGGCACGGCAGACGGAGTGGAGGCCCGGCGCACGGAGCGGCAGCAATGCCCACCAACACACCACTGCAGTCAAAACACCGGGGAGTTTTGATGATTTTTTAATCCCCTTCGTCACCTCTCGCCAGGCAGCCCCAAAGCGACGCGCTACGTTTGAGGCAGCCGTTGGTCTTTCGGGGAGCTCCTGTGTGCGATAACGCCGACAGGCATGGCACCAAAATACCATCGTATGTGTGTTGGCGCGCGCTCGCCGCCTGGCTGGGCGCGCCTCTGCGCAGCGGCTCGACAGTGACTGCGAGACCCGGTGGGACGGCACGGAAAAGACTGGGCGCGCCTCTGCGCAGCGGCTCGACAGTGACCGCGAGACCCGGTGGGGCGGCGCGGAAAAGGCTGGGCACGCCTCTGCGCAGCGGCTCGACCGTAACCGCGAGACCCGGTGGAACGGCACGGAGAGGCAGGCGAAACACAAGTCGACTGTAACCGGTGAGTGAGGACCATCACACTGTGACTGACTCGACTTCGGAACATGCAGCGGTCCGACCCGGTCCTCTGTTCTGACGGCCGACCACGCACTCACCGGACAGCACGGTCATGGCGAAGAGGGCGGCGACGGCGCCCAGCAGCACCGCCGTCCGGGGGTGGCGCATGGCCATGATAGCCGCGATGAAGAAGGTCTTGTCGCCCAGTTCGGACACGATGATGACGGAGAAGGCCGCGACGAATCCGTGCGCGAACCCCACGTCCAGCGCCGCCGTGGCCGCCGGCGGGAACGGACTTCCATCATGTACTGTCACAGGCTGGTGAACAATGGCAGATGGTGAATGCACTTAAGCTGGCAAATGAGTGTGCATGTAGGCTGGGGAAAATGAAATATGGCAAGAAAGATTACTTGAACAGTACCTCTACTGTGCAGATCACTTATGTGGATCATTCATAATACTTGTAGTTTATCCAGAAATCTCTGGTGCTCTTTGTTCATCAGGGCTGTAAATTTACGTAAAATATTTTAGCTAAGAAGCAGTAAGTGTGTACGCCAATCACTGCTCTCACTCCTCTCAATACATATGTGCATGCAAAGTGCATGAAATCATTGTCATAGATTACCACTTTTTCTGTTGATGATGCATGGGTGTGATGCTCTGCATCCAAGTGAGCTGCAGTGCAGCCCACCAAAGTCACAATGGTGATGCAGAAAAGCACCTGCTTCATATCCAGCTTCATATGCCACATGCTGAGGATGATTGTTGTTAGGACATAAACATACATATATTAGTAATATCCATATTGCTACTCCCAACAGTCAAACTTATTTGCTGATTTATCACATTTTTACATTAAAACTGCTTTAAACAACAAGTGGCATACATGCCACAGGCTACTCACACTAAATTGGTGGGCAGGCTTTGAGCTGGAGCTCAAAATGGCAGTAAAAATTAAGAGCACTTGATACATCTGGTGGACAGCTAGATTGTTGGGAGTTCAATGAGAGTATGCACCACCCCTGATCTGATTGTGCAAGATGTGCAACACACTAGTGATATCACAATTTTCTTGAACTTAGCATTCCTACTGCCTCAGCCTGAACAACTCACACCATGGCTATGAAGAATGCAAAACTCTGAACATATGATCCTTCAACAGTCTACTAAAAATTCATCCACTGCACCAGATCCCAGCAAAGCATTGGTTTGCTAGGCCTCATCCTTATGTGGCGAACTTGTCCAGGCCTAACTGTGCTGAATCTTCAGCTCATTTGTTTGTGAAAAAAATATATTCTGGGTATATTCATATGAAACCATCTTTAAAACATGGACTCCCTAAGCACTAAATTAGGTAGTAACTGCAAAAAACTCTGAGCACTCTGATTTATGCTGCACATGCATTACAATTTTTCAACATCACATGTAATTTAGATCTTACACACGCACCATACGTACCAAACGTTACAAATTTTGGACATCAGTTAATTTTAAGGAAAATACTCTTCTTCCTACACTGCATGTGAGTTATTTCCTGGATATTGCACACTTAACAATACAAAACATCCAGGTAAATAGTAGGATGGCATGATATTGATCGATGCCGTGAGTGGGAGCTGGCATTTGCGGACACCGGTGTAGACTATTTGAAAACGGCGCTGAAAGAAGATTTCTATAAGAAAAAATATCACTCACAAGTCTTGTTTCACGAAGTATGAACGTTACCATCATACTATCACGGACTATCTTATCGGCATGAAGGGTGGGCACGAGCGCAAGCCCAGAATTTTTTTTTAAAAATCAAAGCTGATGGACACATCTGCGCCACTTCCGCAAACCTTGGGCTACCGGCTACCACATTGAGAGAACAGAAGCATCAACAATTTAATCCGCCTTTTCTTCCCTCACCCTCAAACCCGATGTTTTTTTTAGCCCGATCAACCTCTGGAGTTGCCAAAGCCAACATGGACACACTTGTCATCTTCATTAGCATATCTTCTATCCAATCTCGGTCTCTCCTACGGAATGCGCTTCACGTACAGCCCACATACGGTTTCCCGCTGTCATACGGCTCACCACAATCTCGGTCTGTGGCATTCGCCACAGCAGGTGCTTTCGCACGACCGAAAACATTTATTCATGTTGCCGTAACCTGACAAGTGACAGTTTGGTGTTTTAGAGCGACTTTTGACGTTTTCAACGTTTCTCGTCGTTTCTATTTTTAAGACGCATTTAGCGAGGCACCATGGGCGAGGCATCGCCGGTGGATGTTGGAGCGTGTTAGCCGCGCAAGCGCCGAGGTCACGCCCGAGACCATGGTGGACCTTCGTCGACTGCCTGTGCTCCAGCAGGTGGTTTGTGTGCTGGAGATGGTTGTCGTGCAGCCCTCTCAGCAGCTGCCAGCTAGGCACCGCTGCTTGCGCTGTCGCCGGGGGGGGGGGGGGGGGGGGTGGTCTCGGCCGTCTGTGACGGGAGTCGCCTTGGCCGGGCGCGCCTGCTGCGCCTGGCTGTGAGGGCCCCGCGCCGTCGCCTGATTTCTAAAAGTGTGGAGTTCGGTGGAGCCCGCCTAATAGACCAAGGTGTAAAGCGTGGAACTCAGTGGAGCCCGCTCAGGAGCGCCAGCTGGCGGCGCGCCCTCTCCCCAAGGGTGCACCGGCACCTGGCAGTCGCCTTCAGCGGGCGTGGTGTGGCGAGCGGTGCCGGTGGTAGGCTGCACGCCATGATGTTCAGACGGCACAGAATACCTGGAGGCTGCAGACTGCACGGACTAGCCGAGTACCGCAGTCACGTGACACGCTCTGCCACGGCCGCTGCCGGCGGATGGGTGGACTCTGTCCAGGGAAGCAGTTTCTCGCTGGATGTGTGAATGAAAAGTGCCACCACCGCACCGTGCTCACCTGCAATCATAATTGAGGCTTATTCTGCTAACTGTGATCTGCTGCCACGTCCAGCAGTACGGCAACTAGCCCCCGCTTAGACGTCCAGGGCCGCGGCGCGGAGAGCCGTGGCCCTGCGAGGCTCTATATCCGGGTTGTGCAGACGCCGCTGACAAAACTACCGGACCGGAAGCATCAAACGATTGGCACGCTCAACGCAGAAGATGGGCGTATGGCAGCGCCTGCCGCACGCGTCATCGGCCAAAGTGGTGGCGGGTCGTCTGAGCAGATAGAGGTTAGGCGCCTGTCGCACTAGTCATCGACCAAAGTGGTGGCGGGTCCTCTGAGCAGATGGAGGTTTGGCAATGCTTTCCACCTTGTTCATTACACGCAGCACCGTCAACAAATAAATCCAACTGCAACGTTAGCGTACTTTTTCTAGCAGTGGGCTTGCCCGCCCTGTACCCGCCGCTCACGCCGCCTCTGCTAAACCGCAGGGTGCTGTCGGCCGCAGCAGCTGCTGTGGGACACCGCCCAGCTGTGCGTCTTTACCGTCGGCGGGGTCCGGTGCGCTCCCGCGAGATACAGCACCGATGCCGGCTGCCAGTCCTTCCTGCTAGGGGGTATTTTGTTTCACGCCGTGCTACGCTGACTCCGAGACAGCTGGAGACCGCGATTCCTGCACACAGGGACCCGACGTGATATTTTACGTCACAGGGGCGTCGTAGTGGTGGTACTACTGGCGGGGGGGGGGGGGGATGGTGGCTGTAGTTCTTGGGACATTTCATGAGTCTAGCGGCAGCGACGATTTCTTTGTGACCATCCCTTACCAGGAAATAACCGATTTGACCCACAGATAACCCCTTTAACTCCTCCCTTTTACATAACCTATTGTGTCGAGGCACCGTAACCAAACTCCGATGTTTTGAAAACGAGGTGTGAACGCTTCATGAGAGCGCTATTAACTTCGGGTCAAAAGCTCCGCTTGTTTCGGCGCTGTAGTGAAAGAACAAAGTGGGGACGTTTGATAGTGGGTCAAACAATTGTGTTGCTGCTGAAAAAATGCCTCACGATGCGATCGTTGGTTTCAAACTTATGTTCAAAATTGGCGGTATTCATGGTGTCGGCCACAGGGCTCATCCAGTCGCCAAGCCAGCCGATCACGGGGCCTAAGGTTGAAGTAACTGGCCGATGCGCCCGACCAACCTTTCCCCTTATGCTGAGGGCTTCAATCGTCGCAGCCTGATTGGCACGAAGCTAATCACTCAGGACGTACGTGTTCACCCATTTCGGGACGTACTGCAGTCCGGCGCTGGTGCTGGCGATATCATGAATTTGACGTCAGCCGCATGCTATTGCATCGGCCGCTGAAAAATGACCGGCTTCCGTGCATCATACTTGGATTATGCTTCTCTTCTATGCTACATGCGTGCCTGGATCCAGCTATCATGTGCATGCTTTTATGTTGACAACATTCATAAGCCCTTATGTGCCAAAAGCTTGCATATATCCAGCTGTCAGTTTGGATAACGGCACAACATCGGCCAAGTAGATTTTCAGACTTTAGGGCGAATGAGATCACCCTCGCACACAATTCAAGCAAAATGCACTCCTGAAGATAGAGTTTACCTTATAACCTTTCAGGCTCAATTCCGTTCGGACGGTGATACTTATCTTCAACTGCAGATGTAGATTCGCCGCCCCTCCCCCCCCTTCCAGATCTCAAGAACGGCTAGTCCGATTTTGATGGGACAAGCACCAATGCATTGCTTTCAACTAGATCTTTCAATTTAAAGCGCAATTCTTTTATTTTTCAGGAGGGCCAGTTACAGCAACTGGAAACTTTGGGCTTTTTTGAAATGGTGCTGTGCCCATGTTTGGTAACCATCTTCAGTAGGACAAACAAGGTTCAGCCAGGAATGCACGTGTCCGTTATGAACCCAAACAAGAGAACCAAAACGGAAATTTTGGGGGTGCTCGTAAGTGTTGAAACGATTTATATTTGACGTGATAAATATATGCTGTTAAGGTCTAATTTGGCTCGTAAGAACGTCAGATACACATATTGGAAGCTAGTTTGTGTTGTATGACACATTGCGCTGGGGCACATGCAGGTAAACAGCCGGTCAGTTTTTCTTCGTCAGCACGCCACATGGCTCTACCATTCTGAGTTCTTGAAACTCCTGTCAAATGTTATGACACGCTCATTGTGATGCATATAGGTGTCTGTATAACACAAACCATCATATTAATTGCATGCTTAATTAAGACAAAAGGTACGGCACACCATCGTTTTCAGTTAGCTTAACGCCGCTCAGACGTATCCTGAAAAGTGAAGCCTGCCTATTGTGCATTCTATTATTTCAAATTTTGACCTTATTCTCCCAAAACACAAAGGAAGTGTACCGCACAACAGTGTATTTGATGCCCTCCTCGCAGAGCAGATTGTTTGCCTGAAGGAAGAGCCTGGAGCCATCCCTGGAAGAGCTATTTTTTAAATTTTTGACACTACACCCATGTATTAATTCTCAACTCAATGAAAACCGACACAATTTTGTAGGACTGCAGCGGACTATTAAAGAGTGGCAAGCACAAAAACCGCTTGGAAGGTGAGAGTGTCTGTCCCGCGCGGGGAATGGGGTGGGGTTCCAGTATCAAACATGTATAAACGTTGTCGTATCCATTCAAACCTCTCTTGAGTTGCCGCTGGTAGCTCTCAAACTGAAAACAAGGCAGCATCGTTGCCGTCATAGATTTTTTCTTCATACGGAGAAAACATTTGGTTTTGCGTGGCGAAAGCATAAATCTTAACTTCCAAAGGCATGGCCTAAAAGAGAGGCAGGACGTAAGCTTTGCGGTGATATGGTTCAGGAATGCCGCATCCTTAATTACTGCGACCGCCGAAAATCCAGTTTGCTACGCACTATGTGACTAAAAGTACGTGCATACGTCAAACACGAGCACAGCGTTACAGAACTTTTTCTGCTGGATTGTTTTGCACGCTTGATAACTTCGCTCCCAACAACAGCAGGACATGATGAAGCACAAACACGGTCTCACAACAGTATTGCACTATTCACCAGCCTAGGATGGGGTCCGAGACTCATTTGAGGCAGCAGGCTCAACCCCAGCGGAAGAAGTCTGCTTAGCCTCAGCTGGGGCAGCAGACTCAGCCTCCGCTGTGACAGCAGACTCAGCCTCTGCTGGGACAGCAGACACAGCCTCTGCTGGGACAGCGGACCCAACCTCTGCTGGGGAAGCAGACTCAGCCTCTGCTGGGGCAGCAGACTCAGCCTCTGCTGGGGCAGCAGATTCAGTCTCCGCCGGGGCAGCAGACTCAGCCTCTGCTGAGCCAGCGAGCTGGACTTCAGCCGAGACGGAAGACCCATCGGCAGGCGAATCTTCGTGTTTTGCGGCGGGCTCCGCGGTGGGCTCTGCAGCGGGCTCTGCAGCGAGCTCGGCGACTGGCACCTTGACTCCGGCCGCGTCCCCGGCCCCCGCCTCCGGCCTGACGGCGACTGCGGCCGAGTGCGGGTGTTGCACATGCAGTTCCGTTTCCTCGTCGCTTTCGGCGGCCTCGGTGTGCAGGATAGCGCCGTCGTCAGCCGAGCCCGACGCGCGCGCCGTTCCGTCGGCTGAGCCCGACCTGTGCGCCGTTCCGTCAGCCGATTCGCTGGTCCTCACCTGCGACGCCGACGCCGTACGCTCTGCGTCGATGCCGAGCGCCGAGCTCTCCAGCTTCACCAGCTCCGCCTCCGGCTCGTCCAGCACCTCGTGGTCCACACAGTTAGAGCTGTGACTGTGAATGCCGACGTTGATCTCCGCGGTGGAGGAGCGCAGCGAGAGGCGCGGATTGGAGTCACAGCGCAACATCATGTGCGACGTCGTTAG